AGGCCAATGGCCCCTCCAGTCCAACACTCTGTGTCACACAGTAGCCAAAACCCAGGGGCCATCAGGAGGTCCACCAGTGGGGCCAGAACTCCAGAAGCCCTCCCACTGTTGCCTCCCCCAAGCACCAAGAATACAGAGCATCACTGCCCTTGACATAAGAGAAGCCATGTTGGATCAGGCCAGTGGCCCATCCAGTCCAGCACTCTGTGTCACACACTGGCCAAAACTCAGGTGCCCTCAGGAGGTTCACCAGTGGGACCAGAACTCCAGAAGCTCTCCCACTACTGCCCCCCCCCCACCTCTATTTCCAAGCTGAAGACCCAGTGCTGTCCGAAGATGTTTCCACGGTCATGTGGCCGGCATGACTAAACACCAAGGCGCACGGAATGCTGTTACCTTCCCACTGAAGTGGTACTTATTTATCTACTTGCCATTTCTTGCTTTCGAACTGCTAGGTTGGCAGGAGCTGGGGCCAGAGACTGGAGCTCACTCTGTCACGCGGCACTTGGGTCTCGAACTGCCAAACTACAGCTCAGCATCTTAACCTCTGAGCCACCAGGGCCCCCGTTCCACCTATACCTTGGGACTAATAGCCAGAGTCCCTATCTATACCTTGGGACTAATAGCCACTGATGGACCTCTGCTCCATATGTTGATCCAATCCCCTCTTGAAGCCATCTGTGCTTGTAGCTGCCGCCACCTCCTGTGGCAGTGAATTCCACGTGTTAATTACTCTTTGGGCGAAGAAGTGCTTCCTTTTCTCTGCTCTAAGCCTAATGCTCATTAATTTCATGGAGCGCCCAGGAGTTCTTGCATTGTGAGAAAAGGACTTCTTTCTTTTCCTTCTTTATCCAATGCATAATTTCTAGCTAGTGTTTGAGGAGGCATGTTGAGTCCCCCTGTTTTTCCAGAGGAAATGCACGAAGAATCCTGTCGTTTATCTTGTAGTCAAGACATGTACATATCAAATTTTAGGGCTTTAGCGTGGGGTGGGGGGTGGGAGTGTAACAGTTTGTTACCCAGGTGAGCTGTTACTGAGATGTAAATGCCAGAACCGAGAGTTTTGGTGTTGGGGTCAGTGCTCCCGCTAAGCTGTGGAGTCCTGTGAGTAAAAATTTGACTTTGTGAGCTACCGGCATTAAAGTTGTGAGCGGGCGATTTGGCTGATGCAAAAATGAGGTTGCTCTGGAGCCCTCCTCCCTGAGCGAAGAGAAAAAAGTGTGAGCCGGAGGCTAAACAGCTGTGAGCTAACTCACACTAACTCAGCTTAGAGGGAACACTGGTTGGGGTGGTGTTGTTGTTTTAACATTTGGGAACGACAGCCCCCCAGTGGTTCTTAGCGATAGAAGCGTGTCTCCCATCTGTAGCCTGGCTTCTGGCATGCATGTGGAAATTGGGTCTAGGCGGCGGCGGCTCAATTTGCAAGTTCGGTACACCCTTCGGGGTTAGTCTATATTTCCAACACAGCCTTCTGGGAGGTACAAATTAGCCATGCCTTTGGTCTTCAGCGTCTCCCTAGGCGCCGCGAAGAAAACCAGGAGACTGTATCTTGCAAGCAATCTGCGAGGCTGGCGGGGGGGGGAGCCGCATCTGTGGCTTATCTGGGAGGGGGAGGAGGACTGTGGCTTTGGGCATCTCCGCTCATGCATGGGTCACCTAAGCCCTTGAAGGGCCGCCATATAGAGGATGGTGTGGCGTTGTTTCCTATGGCCCCAGGCGGCCGGACCAGAACCGAAGGGTTGACATTAAATCCGAAGAGTTTTCGGCTAAACGTTAGGAAGAACTTCCTGACAGAG